GGCAACATTTTTCTGCCCCTTCTCCACCACCCACCTCCCCACCCCCATACAGCCCCCACCCACAGCCCCAGGGCTCAGGGCTCCCTCTGCTGGCTCCTAGGAGGTGGGGGTCAGACTAAGGACCCTGGGGGTGGGGAGTGTGAGGAAATAGAGGGTGGCTGGCCAGGAGGCCCTTCAGAGGAAGTCGGGCACCAAAAGGGTCTGTGATCTCCTTGGCCTCGATAATCCACTCAGGAGTGCTCTCTGGGGAAGGGGAGGGTCCCGGAGGGTGCTTCTGGTTCACAGGCAGGGCCGGTGAGGGAGGAAGGAACACAGGGATCCCAGCTGAGAAGTCAGGGCAGACAGCTGGAGAAAAGGGTGTTCTCGTGAATCCACAAACAGCTGCCTGCACTCCTACCATTTGCCCTGCTCTGTGCAGGCCCAAGACATGAATGGGGGTGTGAATGGGAGGACAAAAAGCACTTTGCTAGAGCTCACCGTCTGGGCAGGCTCTTCTCGTGTGTACCAGGGAAGTTGTCAGGTATCATGATTCCCATTTGACGGTCATGGACACTGAGGTTGCGAAGGTCAGGTCTCATTCATTCAACAAATATTAAGTGCCCACTTCACATGCAAGGGACTTGCTGACGTCTTAGGAGAAGCAAATGGCGGAGCCCAGATCGAAACCCAAGTCACGGACTCCCCAGACTCTGCACGTGTGCCACGAATGACATCGTGACACATCGTGACATCGTGACAGCGTGAGATCTTTGTCTTTAGTGTGTCTTTCACCTAAGTGGAGAGAGAAGACAGGGCGACACGACAAAATAGTTATGCCACTGGCAGGATAATGAGCACCCCCAGATGAGCGACACCTGAGGTGATGGGGGGGAGGGGTGGTCAGTGAGGGCTGGGCTCAGGGGCGACAGGGATCTGAGGTGAGCTCGGAAAGATGCCGGGTGTGATTTTGATGACTTAGGGATTGGGAGGGGGTAGCTCCGAGTCCAGAAAGCTGGAGGTGTAATCTGGGACGGATGCAGTGAGCCAACCCTGCTTGGCAGAAGGGCTGTGTGGAGGATGGTGTGCTGTGCGAGGGCATCTCAGCTCTTCCGAAACCCCACGTGGTCATTCCCTCCAGTCCCTTTGGTTTTAAAGAGATTCACCCAGAGGCGCCTGGGTGGCTCAGTTGGTTGAGCGTCTGATTCTCGATTTCGGCTCTGGTCATGATCACAAGGTTTGGTTCGTGAGTTCGAGCCCTGTGTGGGGCCCTGAGCTGACAGCCCCTCCCCCGCACACACACATGCTCCCTCTCTTTCTCAAAATAAACAAATAAACTTAAAAAATAACATTCACCTAAACTTCTTGAAGTGCGGATTCCTCCATTGAGTGGCCAAGGTCGGCCACCTCTTTCCTCAGATGTTCGTCTGTATAACGGGGGTGAAGTGGGTAGAGTAGGAGTAGAGAGGGCCCTTTGGCCCTCTGAATCTGGAGACGGAAAGGTAGGTTAGGCCAGAACCTGGGGCCCCCAGGGCTTAGAGCTACAGATGTTGCCAGTAGGAGCTGGCTGTCCCTAACGCCACCTCACTTGGCTATCGATTCTACCAACCAAGGTCCTGGGAGGGAGATTTTGGCATCTGCCAAGCCAGTTAGAATGGCCAACCTTAGGCCTGTCCCTTCTTGTCTGCAAGATTTCCTTTAGGACTAGCCTCATTTTTTCTATGCCCAGGAATGGCTATTTGATTAGGATCTCAGATCCTACCTGCTATCTATTATATAACTCCTACACCACTGTGCTTAGCTCCCCAAACAAGCAGATGCTCCCAAAAGGGTACATCTTCTCTGGGCTGACTCAGAGGCCAAAAAAGCAGAGTTGATTCCCTAAGGAAGCAGAAGGGAAGAAAGGAGGGTAAAGAAAGAGGGGAGATGGGGGAGTTATTTCTTGATGTTATGTCCAGTGTTAACTTGGAGGGGACAAGGGAGCTTCTCAGGCAACTTCTCCTATTTCTGAAGCGCAGAGAGAGAGCTGACTTGCCCACAGTGGCTCAGCTCACCCAGAGTTGACAGAGACCAGGGTGCAGAAGTGACGCTTGATGTTTTGCCCGATGCCCTACCCCCCCCCACCCCCACTCCTCTTCTGGACTTTCCTTTCCTGTGACTTGGGGATGGGAGCGAGGACGGGAGGGCAGGGAGCAAGCTGGTCCCTTGGGATTCTAGCTGCTACTACTGCCCATCCCTCCTCCTGACCAGCTTGTAAACAAGCCTTGTTCCCAGGCAGCAAGCCAGCCTGGGGAGCCAGACCCGGACCAGCAACTGACTCTGGGGCAGCCCCTCAACCCTGCAAAGGGCTGGCCCCACCTCCGGGAGGGCCCTACCCTTCCTGCTCCTCCCGATTTCTCTCCTATCTCTAGCCCCTGGCAAGCAGACAAGGTCAGGAGGTTTTTGCTTTTCTCCCTGCATACCCCCACCCTCTCTTGCTTCCCTAGGGCAGGAGGAGGGAGAGGAGAGGGATGGGGTCAGAGTAACCTTGAGAGGATAAAACCAGTCAACCTTGGGAAATTAGGGAGTTAGCAGAGGGCAGGGCTGGGAAGAGAGACTGGGGAGCTTAGTGGCATGGGGGGGGTGGGGTGATTTGGGGAAGAAGAGTTTGCAGAGCCCCAGATTCCCAGGTGGAGGCCTGGACAATCAGGTGGCAGGAAAGGAGCTGGAAAGTCATGGGAAGGCCTGCTTCCCTGCCTCTGCATCCAGTGGGGGGTGGGCAGAGGAGGGGTGGAGAGAGAGGAAGCTGATTAGCAGTCATGGAATCTCATGTGGACAAGGGCCTGGACTCAAATGAGGACATTCTCCTTAGAAGGCTCATTCATTCATTCATTCATTCATTCAAAAACATGGATTAAATGGTGTTCGTTGTAGTATTAGAATAATCATTTGTAATATTGTAGTATTATAGTAATCATTTGCACATTTTCATAACAAAAATTGGGGGAAATACGAATTAAGCACCTAAAAATCTGCCACAGGAAACAAAAGAAAATGTCAGTTCTAACTCCCAAGGTGCTCATAGTCTTATCTACTGACCCTATATAACCATGCTGGAAGCTTTCTCAAATCCTTTTTGTAATGAGGTGGATAAACGGATGGGGGTAGGGGAGGATCGATGATACACGGAGAGAGAGAAAGAGATTGATAAACTCTTGTGGTCACTGGGCCACTGGGAACCACCTTGTGCTGCCCTATCCATGGCACACACTATCCACTGCTCCATCCACCACTTTTCTAGGGTTGGGAATGGGCTGGGGCTGGACCTTTCCTAGCTGCAGTTGGAATGCAGTGATGGTCAGGTCCTAAGCATGGAGGAAGGAGTCTGGACTATAACTCTTCACTGAGAAAAGAATTTTGGCTCCAGGACTACTTGGGTGGGGAGGCTGACAATGATCTGATGGGGTGGGGTGTGTGTGTGTTGGGGAGGGGGGAGTAGGAGACCTTAGAAAGAACTGAACTTACACATCTTCTTGCAACGGCCTCTTTAAGCATCTCGCTCCCCAGAGTTGAGAAGTTCTACCTTAAGACCTAAATTCTTGCTGCTGTTCAAGCCCATTACATCTCATTGTTGTGGGGCCAGAACATGCCTGGGCAGCCTGTTCTTGTGGAGCAAATGGGGACAGGGGGGCCGATGGGCATAAAGGCTAAAATGAAAAGTAGGCCACCTTGACCTTTGGCACCTATCTCCTACCATTTTCCTCGACATTTTCTATCTCCTGGTGCTACTTCTCCCCACCCGGAGTCTTTTTCTGTCCTCTGCTGAAGGGTTTTTGTGTGATCTCAAATTACTCTCAGGTCCAAGTGCTCCGCCCACTCATTCCTGCAGCACAGGGACCACAGCTAAGCGTTCATCAAATAAGAGCGATCTGATTCAAGGAGTTCCACTCAGCTGCGAGTAACCTTAACCTTCAGGGGTCTGGTCTATGGAAACCAAATAACAGCTCTCTCCTTAGGTGGAATGAAGGCTGGGAACGGAAGGATTTCTGGAAGTGTGTGGAACTTCCCATTCGGTCTTTACCCATACCAAGCCAAACAGGCATTCCCCTTCCCCAAACCAGTTAGGTCACAACCAGTGACGTCAGTGCCTGGCCTGCCTTGCCGGCCATCCTGCTCTGAAAAAGTCACAGACCCTGGAATGGAAGGGTAGTGTCACTTACTTCACCATAATGCTTCAGAGACTCGGTCCCCCAGCTACTTCCTCCTGCTCTCCAGCTCAGAGAGATAGAGGATACCCTCGTGCAAGGGCCCACCTTAGGGATCAAAGCCCAACCTTCCCATTTTACAGAAGGAGAAACTGAGCTAGAGAGGGGGTGTGAGCTTCATCACCCTTTGGGGTCAGGCCTGTTCTTTGTCTCCCTTTTGGCTCACCTGGTGCTGGGTGCCCTCACCTTGAATCAAATTCCTAGAAGGACTTATTAATGAAGATGTGCACAGAAGGATAAGGCTGAATCCTTGCTCTATAGCAATTTCGGTCTCAACTCTAGTGAAAGGGGACACGGGACAGTAAGAGAACCAGATGGGACAATCTCACACTCAGTTGGGGTGGGGGGAGAGAAGAGGCGCGTCCCAGCGCCTAGCTGTGGGCTGAGCGGGACTGGCCTCCCTCCCCGCCCCCGCCCCAGCCCTTTGAGTCATATCTTGGACGTGCTGTTCTTTGCTTTCCAGGGCGGTGGGCAGCCCCTTGGTCATGGATCCTACCAGCATCTGCAGGAAAGCGCGGCGGCTGGCAGGGCGGCAGGCTGAGTTGTGCCAGGCCGAGCCAGAGGTGGTGGCAGAGCTAGCCCGGGGCGCCCGGCTCGGGGTGCGGGAGTGCCAGTTCCAGTTCCGATTCCGCCGCTGGAACTGCTCCAGCCACAGCAAGGCCTTCGGGCGCATCCTGCAGCAGGGTCAGTGTGGGGAGAGCACCTGGGGGGCTGCTTTTTCTTTTCGGGGATCAGAGGAGAGGGGGGGTTGGGGGGGGCGGCTGCGGGAGCCCCACCTCTCCCGCCGGTCTGTGGGTACCCTGTCCCGACCCTGCCTCCCAGCCATGCTGCCTTGCCCACCGCAGCGCCTCCCCCCTCCCCGCCACCCCCGGGGACCCAGCCTCGGTCCTGCCGGCTGACTTCCCCCATCCTGCGCCCGGCCCGCAGACATCCGGGAGACGGCCTTCGTGTTCGCTATAACGGCCGCGGGCGCCAGCCACGCCGTCACGCAGGCCTGCTCCATGGGCGAGCTGCTGCAGTGCGGCTGCCAGGCGCCCCGAGGGCGGGCCCCGCCGCGTCCCCCGGGCCTGCCCGGCACCCCTGGGCCCCCCGGCCCCGCCGGCTCCCCCGACGGCAGCGCCGCCTGGGAGTGGGGGGGCTGCGGCGACGACGTGGACTTCGGGGACGAGAAGTCGAGGCTCTTTATGGACGCGCGGCACAAGCGGGGACGCGGAGACATCCGTGCGTTGGTGCAACTGCACAACAACGAGGCCGGCCGGCTGGTGAGTATGGGCGGGGTGTGTAAGAGAGTGTGTGGGTATGAATGTGTGGGTATGGGTAGGTGTGAGTGGACGTGGGTGACGGTGGGGTGTGCGGGAGCGTGTTTGTAGACGTGTGAGGAGATGGGGGTGCGAATGAGGGCGTGTATGTGCAGGAGTATGTTAATGTGTGTGGGAGCCAGCGAGGCAGAAAGGGCGCACTTGGGAAGACTGGCTGGGGGCATGTGGATGGGCATGTGGGAGGCAAGGTGGCCAGCCTAGAAGAGGGAGTCCCTTGGGAGGCCTAGGAAGGCCTAGAGCTGGTGATCTAGTGGGCAGGATGGGGAGGGGACACCCAGAGAAGAGGACTCAGGACCTCAGGTAGGGAAGACAAACCTCTGAGACCCGACAGGTGAGGCAAAGGCTGGGATAGGTAGAGATCTGGCTACCAGCACAGGGACAGAGGAGGGTGACAAAAGCTGGGGATGAAAGAGAAGATAGAGGCTGGGGCAAAGGTCTGGAGGTGGAGGAGTTGGGAGAAGTGAGGGAGGCCAGGGAAAAGGGCCAGAACGTGGCCAAGGAAGGCTTGGAAAGGTGTGAAAGACAAGGCTGGTGAAGGTAGGAGGGAATCAGCTAAAGGCCAGGAAAGCTGTGACTGAGTCTGGGCATTTGCCAACTGGCTGCCCACCAACTCCAGACTGGGCCCTGCCTCTCCCCTTCCCTCTGCAAGGAGGAGTCCCCATACCCCCACCCCCACCCCCAGCTCTCGTCAGATGTTTCCAGGAGGGAGGGTGAGAAAGGAAAGAAACCTGGGAAGGGGAGGGGGGCACACAAGTCTGCATTTCAGGTTGGCCTCTGGACTCTGAGCTTCCACAGATGATATTGCTGAGTCATCTGACACCATAAATCTTAGTGGGGTTGTGACTCTTAGACCCCAGCAGTCTAATCGCACAAATCGCAAATAAGGGGCAGGGGTTCTGGATTCTGGTTCTCAGTAATGCATTCACCGTCGGCCATCCTGAAGCCTATGCCTTAGTTCTAAGATGCTCTAGGGACCCCACCCCCCTCACATCCTGTGTCCTCTAGGGTTCAGCCCTGAGGCCTCAGGCAGGGAGTAAGAGGGGGCCCAGAGAGGAATGTCCAGACAGGCCCACATACCTGTCAGACGCCCAGGAGGCTGGCTCTGCTCAGCCCTGTCTGGGGCCGAGAGGGGCAGCAACGAGGGGGCCCTGTTGGCAGAAGGAGGTTGGCAGGAGGAATAGAGCACGACAGCTGCAACCCCTCCCTGCCTCTAGGGAGACTCTCACCCCAGCCGTCAGTTCTGCTTTCTCTCTCTCCCATTCCCTGACTTTGCGTCCTGCGATCTCTGCCGCACACTGCGCCCCACTCCCCCCAACTCCTCTCACTCTAACAGCTTTGTAATTTTTCCTTCTCTCGGAGCTGTTGCTCCCTGGGTTTCCTCCTCTCCACCTTGCGCTCTCTTGGTTTTGGTCTGCTCTTTTCTCTCTTCCGGCCACCTCACCCTCCCCATCTAATTTTTTGTCGGTCCTCTGGACCTTTCCCGCACCCCGTACCCCCAATCTGTCCGCATCCGCCGGCTCCTTTGCTCCCTGCAGGCCGTACGGAGCCACACGCGCACCGAGTGCAAGTGCCATGGGCTGTCGGGCTCGTGCGCGCTGCGAACCTGCTGGCAGAAGCTGCCCCCGTTCCGGGAGGTGGGCGCGCGGCTGCTCGAGCGCTTCCACGGCGCCTCGCGTGTCATGGGAACCAACGACGGCAAGGCTCTGCTGCCCGCGGTCCGCACTCTTAAGCCGCCGGGCCGCGCCGACCTGCTCTACGCCGCCGACTCGCCCGACTTCTGCGCTCCCAACCGGCGCACCGGCTCGCCGGGCACGCGCGGCCGCGCCTGCAACAGCAGTGCCCTGGACCTCAGCGGCTGTGACCTGCTGTGCTGCGGCCGCGGGCACCGCCAGGAGAGCGTGCAGCTCGAGGAGAACTGCCTGTGTCGCTTCCACTGGTGCTGTGTGGTGCAGTGCCACCGCTGCCGCGTGCGCAAGGAGCTCAGCCTCTGCCTCTGACGCGCCGTCCGGCTCTCCAAACCGCGCGCCCCTCGGCATCTGCGGGACCTCTGCAGTCCGGCGGGGGCGCTGCCCCGCTGCTCGCAGCGAAGGTCCATCTCCCAGGCCTCCGCCAACTGTGAGGCGGCGGGGGCTTGAGATACACGCCCGCCCACGAAAGCGAGGGGCGCTGAAGGCCATCCACCCCGGGGGAGCGCTCTGGAGGGCCCCCGGGGGAGGCTATGTAGTCCCTCTCGCTCTTTGGCCCCCATATGGAAAGCAAAGAGCCAAACTCGAGGCCTCTGGACGCAGGACGCCTTAGAACTGCTGGCTATGGGGTGGGTGGGTGAGTTTAGTATCAATAAAAATATTTAAACCAATAGGACTGGGCCCACAGTTTGGGAGGGAGCTGGCCTCCTGGGGGACACCATGGGGCCAGGCTTCCGAAGGAGTGTGTAAAGGAAGATGGTTTTGATAGAACTAGCATCTCAGGGGTTATCACCTTAGGTCCCTATCTCCCCTACTGAATTAGGTTCTCCTGGCAACCGTGGAGAAGAGTGCGGATTCTTCTGGTTCACCCTTGTCAAACATCTCTGGCCTGGATCTGCAAGCTGGGAAAAACCTAGCTGTCCTTCTTTAAAGGGACAGACTGAAAAGGTCTAGGAAAAGAAGACCAAAAGCCTCTGGTAGTGTACTCAGCTCTCAGTCCAGCCCTCATCTTCTCTGGGGAGGGTGACACCTTTATCTGCCCTTCTGTTTCTGTGATTCTTGGGGACTTTGAGGGTAGACTTCTAGGGCCACCCAAGCCCATAGGATTAAAGCACTTTATAAACTGTAGAATGTGATGAGAGTATGTTATTAGTAACATCAGGCTTTTTAACCACCAAAACTAACTTCATTGAAAAGACTGCCCCGATCAGCATTTCTAATCATACTCAGTGGGGGAGGACGCAAAGTTGTCCCAAGTTTCTCCGGGCACCCAAACACATTTCCTCCCTTCTGGTTCTTTCTCAGAAAGCTGATGTCGAGGCTGCAGGGACAGGGAGGAAAGGTTGGAGGTTCTGGGTTCTCCAGAGCTGGATCTCATGCCTCCATCTTCCCGCAGAGAGAATGGGGCAGGGCCATAGGCAAATGGCTAGGATTCAGAGCCCCAATTTTCCCACAGTCCAAATACTGCAGGAGAGAATGACTGCCTAGGTGTGTAGGCAAAGCATGAGCTTTGGATTCAGGCACTCTGTGTTTGAAGCTGCTGCTGCTGCTGCTGCTGCTGCTAAGAAGTTTACAATATAGGCATGTTAACCTCAGTTTCTTTGTCTATATAATGGAATACCATCATGTTTCAGTTATCCATTGCTGCATAACAAAGGACCCCCGAATAATTACTTCTCCTGATCCTTTAGGTTAGGATTTTTTTCAGAGTTCAGCTTGGTGGCTCTGCTCCTTATGGCAGGGACCAATGGTTGTGGTCATTCACCTGGCTGCCTTCTGCAGTGGCTGGGCCAGGCTGAACAGTCTAAGAGGCTTGACTCATATGTCTAAGTAGTGCCTCAGAGCTCTTCCAGGGTCTCCTCCTCTCCATGTGGCTAGCTTGGGCTTCCTTACAGCATGGGGGCCTTGGTTTAGTTACACTTCTTACCTAGGCTGGCTTTCAAAATGGACATACTGAGTGTGAAGGCAGAAGCTCCTTACAGTCCAGCCTTGGAAGTGACGCAGCATTGCTGTCACTCCCTGTTGCTCGACACAAGTCACAGAACCAGTGAAAATTCAAGGGAAGGGGAAAGGGACACCATCTCTCACTGGGAGAATGGCACCATTATCAGGACCATTCACATCCTCATAGAACCATGGGGAGGATTCTTCTGAGACATGAAAAGCACTCAGCATAGCATGTAGCACGATAGTTTATGTCAGGCTTATATTTAATAAATGGTAGTTTCTGTGAGAGTGGGAATAGAGAACTGATGCCTTGCAGGTATTGGGCAGACCTTGATTGCCAATGAAGATACTCAACTCAAACTAGCTTAGGTCAAGGGAATTAACTATGAAAAACAATTAAAAGGGAATTAATTACCTGGGAAGTGCAGGGGTGAGACTGAATTCAAGCACAACTGAACCCAGAGGGCCAGACGATGTCATAGGTCTTTCTCCCTTGTCTTCTTCCCTCACTACCCGCCCCCCCAACATCTATGGTTTCTAGCTTATCTCTGCCCTTCTTTTCACACTGCCTTCATTATCTCCTGCTGCAGATAGACCTTCTCTATATGTCAGCCCTATGCCCACATTCTTAGAGCTGGTGATCTAAAAAAGAATGGCTTTCCCAGCCAAAGTCCTAAGGAAGACCCTGATTTGGTCAGCTGGGGTCACTTGCCCACCCCCAAACCAATAACTGTCCAGGAAGATGTACTACCGTGACTGGGACTGGCAGCCTGAGCTAAGACCACAGGTATTGGGGGCACAGGGAGGAGAGGAGAGTTTTTCAGTGAAACGGAAGGAAAGGGAACTCACCCTGGATGTAACAGACCTTAACCATGGCTTTCAGTGTATCTGTCCTCCTTCCCCACAATGCCTCTGCATCTGCCTCTTGACCTAGCCTGGTTCAGCCCTCAAGAATCACGTTTGGGATCCCAGAGTGAGGCATATGTGGAGAGGGGTATCAAGCTGCAGTGGGAAGGAAAGGGCATCTGAATTTTCCTTCCTGCCTCATCCTGACTCCTTTAGGTCAAACGCCCGAGCTTCAGGGAAGTTGGGCTCAGAACCTTCAAATGCCCGAACTTCAGAGAATCTGGACTCAGAACCTCTTCTACTCAAGGGGGTTTGACAACTTACCAAGGGTGAGAGTGGAACTGGCATCATGGGCAGCATGGAGGAAAAATGAAGCTTCCTAAATTACAGTTACCTTCAGGGCTCTGCCTTCCCCAGAGCTGGGTTCAATACTTAAAAAGAAAAAAAAAAATCTCCTGCACTTCTCTCAGGGACCACAAGAGGGTGCACAGAGCCCAGCTTCCCTATTAACAGGGACCAACAGGACCTGCAAGCATCTGGGGAACTCAGAGAGCCATGGACAAGGAGAGGGTAGGATGGAAGGAAGCAAGGAGACCCACGGACCAGCTTGGGCCAAGCTGCTAGGGTTCCAGACTGTCTCGGACCTCTGGGCTGACCCAGACCTAGGGGCGGACGCCTGCATCCCAGTGTCTATTGCCAGGTCTTGGTGCGTGGTGTGGAGTAGGTGATGCTAGACTCCCCCATGAGCCAGAGAAGGAAACTAAGACAGTGGCATGAACTGACACCACCCCAAACAGGTGAAAAGGAATTCAGAGGAAGTAACATGATAACAGTGAGGAAAGGCCTAGTTTGCCAGCTTGACCTTGATCAGGTCAATTAATTTCTCTGAGCCTCAGTTCTCCCGTCATGGAATGGGGGTGCCTGATAGCTTTTTAGTACACTGGAAGAGAGCACTGCAATCTTCAAACCGATGGTCTCATGTTGGTGGTCCATTTTCCCTGACCAAGCTCAGCAGGAGTCTGGGAACCACCTTCTGTGAAGGGTGAGAGCCTTGGCCTGAGAGGCACCATTTTGAACATTATTTTGGTCATCTTTAAGCTCAGAGATGGCTCTGTGCTCTTGCACTGCTGCCTGGGAAGAAGGCTGGAAGCAGAGCTCAGAAATATGCCCCCCCCCAACCCCCTTGCTTACCCAGCTGCTCAGCCCCAGGCACAGTCTGAGCCATGAAGGTTCCCTGCTGGCTGAGTGGTGGGGGACATGTGGTACCAGGGACATGGGGGAAGAGCACAGAGGTGCCCCAGATGTGTGCATGACCACATCAGGGAGAGCCAGAATGCAGGCAGATGGGTGGGGAAGCTGCTGGAAGGCCCAGGATCAGCCTAAGGCCAAGGGCTCATTTCCCCTTCCTTCCAATGACCAAATACACTAGGAGTTTGGGGGACTCAAGCAGCTAGTTATTCCCCCTTACCTTGCTGAGGGGCACTGGTCCCTGAGGCCTGAAGGATGGGATAAAAAGCTCTCTTCTCGGTCTGGGGCTGCTTTCCCCTCCTCTTCACCGAGATGTTCTCTTGCAGAACATCAGGACTGAGCTTGGCCTGGTCCGGGTTGGGGCTGTGAGAGTCCCACCTGTTCTCACCCTGGTGCCTCCTCTAGCCCTCCCTTCCCTGTAACCTCCTCCAGGGTTGCCACAGCTGGAACCATTCTCTGAGCTGCCTTTCATCTCTGGTGCCCCCCCCCCACCCCCAGTGGCCCCTGTAATTGTGGTCTCAGCTGGCGGCTGCGGGGGGCTGGGGCTGGGCTGAGGGCCAGAGCCAAGGGCAGGGCCAGGGTGGGGTCTGGGGGTTGCTGACAGGGGCTTGCCCATGGCAGGGGTCATTTGGGACTGGGGCTCCAGTCACACACTCTTTCTGGGCCTCATCTCCACATATGCCAAGGCCCCTGTGCCTACATATGCCCTCTCCTCTCTGCACTGAGAAGTGCCCCAGGCTTGGGTACTTTTAGACCCTCATGACATCAGACCAGAACTACGCCCCAGTGCAAACAAGGCTTGAGAATCGTTATTTGCCTCCTGGGATTTTCAAAGAAAGGGACTTCTCCCTCTCTTTTACACCTCTGTATTTCTTGAGCTGTTAGAGGGTGGGGGAGCAAAGAGACCCCCCCTTGGCAGAGGCAGGTCAAAGGAAAAAGAAGTCAGTCCGTCAAGCAGGTCAGCAGAATTTCCCAAATGTGGTCCTCACGAAAATCACTTGGGATACTGCGAGAAATGCAGACCCCCAGGCCTTGCCCCCCGACAGGCTGATTCAGCTGCATTGGACCGGGAATCAGTATTCCCCACAATGGTGTACCCCACGGGATACCTATGATGAGGCATCAAGCCTGGAAAGGCTCGTGTGAGCTGTATCTGGGGAGTAAGGAGGTCTGCAAGCTGGATTATGAAGCCATTCCCTGTCCCAGGTTGGGCCTCTTCCTAACCCTTTCTGGGTCTCAGTTTCCCCAACAGCCTGGCTTGTCCCTGTGGTGCCTTCTCCCACCTCAGGCTCCTGCCTACCTTCCTGTGCTGAGTCTGGTCCTGCCCTATCCTTCCCCATACCCCAAACCCTCCCCAAACTCTAGTCCCAAGCTGTCCCTGTCCTGCAGCATGGTGAAGGAGAGTGGGGAGGGCAGGGGGCGGCTGGGGTCAAACAAGGCTCTGGCTGACGCAGGCTGCTTCCTGCCCCCGGCTGTTTTCCTGCTGTCCAGCCAGACTGCTCCCCCCATTGCCCCACCCCCACCCCCAGCAGCCTCAAGCCCTTAATTCCTGACAGCTGCGGTGGCTGCCGGCAGAGATGGGGGGAGAGGAGGGGGGAGGATGCCGTCAGCCTGCTGTTGCTCGGGCTGCCCCCACCACCTGACAGTCTGGGGACAGGGAAAGCCCCACCCCTCTCCTCCAATTCCCCAGGGATGGGCAATTCCAGGACCGGGCCCCTTTTGTCTCAGAGCCCAGAGGCTCCGGTAGTTTGTCCTTAAACCAGGAGAGGGCAATGAGGTTGGGAGGGAGGTATGTGTGTAGTAGAGTGAGAGGCTTGTGCCCATTGTACAGAGGAGGATGCTAAGGCCACAGTGGGAATAGGATTCACTATCGGGGCCCAGGTTAGAACCAGAAACAGAAGCTGGAGCCTCTGTCCCCAGCCTGCTGTTTCCTCAGGTCCTTGCCTGGCTGTAGTGTTCAGCTGGGGCGAGAGGACATGAAGGAATCCCAGAGAGGAGTGGGCCTGAGTCAGGAGTCCGGTTTTGGGTGGCTCCCAGAGAACCAAGTACAGGTAGCAAGGGCCAGGCAAGATCTGGAGCATCTGCAGGAAGGCCCAGGCAAGCAGCGCTCAGTGTTGGGGCCACTGCTGCTGTGCTCAGAGTCAAGAGGACTGGGTTGGATTCCAGCTCTTCATTTGCTGTGTGACCTTGAGTAAGTCATGGCCCTCTCTGAGCCTCATTTTCTTAAGAAATAAAAGGGGACAAAATACACACTTTTGGGATTAGAAGGCTCTCTAATACCTCTCCCAGGGTGTGTCACCCCAGGGAGTTCTGCTCCCAGACATTTACTGGAGTCCCAGCACTTTGACCTTCATTGGTTCACTGATCAGATGAGGTGAGCCTCAGTAACCTCATTTCATGAAAGGGCAGAGGGTGGCTCAGTGAGCACGAGGCACCTGTTTAAGGTCACACAGGGAAGAAGAGCAAAATCCAGAGGCTGCCAAACCCCTTTACAGGACCCCCCCCCCACACACACCTGCTACACCAGCCAAGCCTGGGAAGTCCCTCCTGAGGTGGGAGAGGTGGGCAGGGGGGCCAGCCCCTCCCCTCCAGTCCCTGCAGGTGTGTATGTTGGGGAGGACCGCTCCCCGACAGCTGTGTCTCAGCCAGACACACACACTTCGCAGTAACACACACCTTCTTACACAAACCAGCGCGCCCGGCACTGGCATCTCCACGTGCACGCGCGCACAGACCCCAACACCTCTCTTTCCCCAGCCCTCTGCACCGCCGCTTCCACCCCGAGTCTGGAGCCGAAGGGCGCTGTGGCCTCAGGACCCATACACGCCTCCACCCCCTCGTAGTGACGTCACCTGGGGTAGAGCCCTGACACTCTGCGGGGGGGGGGGGGGGGGGAGGAAAGGGGAGGCGGTAGAGCTCCCTGTGCCGGGACAGTCACTCACTCTCTGGGCGGTGGGGCCGGGCACAAACAGCGCCGTCCCCCCTTCAACACCACCCGCCCCCCCCCACCCCGCCCTCCTCGCACGCCCTCGGAAGCACAGGCTCGTGGCGCTGCTCTGGGGGGCTCCCGGGCACCCAGCCTCTCATCCCTAGCCCGCAGCACCTCCGGGCCCCCCTTACCCTCGAGAGGCACCGGGAGTTGTCGCAGGGGGGCCTCGGGAAATTCCCCGGACCCCTGTGCCAGGAGGTGCCCGGTGCGCCCGCCCGCCCCCCCACCCCGAGGGCGGTGCCCGGGGGCGCTGCCCCATGGAGCGGGGAGGCGGGCGCCGTCTGCTCTCGGAGCCGTGACCCGAGTCGGAGCTCCGTGTCGCAGCCGCCCCGACCCCCGCGGATCATGCGCCGTCGCCCCTGGCTCGCCGGTCCCGCCGGGCTGTGAGCCCCCCACTCCTGGCCGGTCACGGCCCGCGCGCCATGGGCAGCACCCACCCTTGCCCCTGGCTGCGGCTCCGACCTCGGCCCCAGCCGCGGCCCGCGCTCTGCGCGCTCCTGTTCTTACTGCTGCTGGCTGCCGCCGTGCCCAGGTGAGCCCTCACCTTACGCCCCGCCCTCCTGGAGAGCTGGGACCCCCAGCCACGGGGGCCTCCGGCGGCGCTCCCGCTGGGGCAGGGGACCCTGGAAGGAGGGAGGGACAGTGTCTCAGAAAAGAGCTGGTGCCCAATGAAAGACAGTGCCCTCACAGGAGAGGGCTGAACTGGTGACAGAGTATGGGCAGTCCAGGGAGGCAAGGCAGTGCCCAGGAAAGTGATGGCTACTGGAAGAGGAGGTGTGTGTGCGGAGGGGAGCAAGTGCCAACCTGGAGTCCAGGCCAGGCCAGGCGAATGCACCCCTACCCCAGGAGTAAGCTCAGACTGCGTTGCTCCTCCTTGGAGATCGCTCCCAGACAGGGGCATGGGTTGGGGGCTGGAAGGGAGTAGTTCAGGTGGGGTCACTGTGACACTGCAGCTGGAAGGGTTCTCAGTGTGTGTGTGTGTGTGTGTGTGTGTGTGTGTATGTGTGTGTGTGTGCGTGTGTGTGTGTGTGTGATATTGTGAGCCCTGCAAGCTATGTTGTTAAATAGCAGTCTGTGTGTCCACATATGTGTGAATGTGCGAGCTTCTGGATCAGTGTATGTTAAGATGAACACGTGTGTATGCTTGTGAGTGTCTTTGTGTATGTGTGTATAACGATGCCTGACTGAAGCGTGCATGCGTGGAAGTGTTCCTGGATCTGGGTGGCCATCTCCATGTGTGCAGCTGTGTGTCTGTGTGACTGTGACTGTCTGAAACATGTCTTGGGAGTGGTCTCCTGGGGATCGCTACGTATGTGAGCATCTATGCCTGGGGATGTACTTCTGAAATACCGTGTACGCAGGCATTTCGGATGTGTGTCCATTTACACGTTAACCTGTGTGGGTGTGCGGCTGGCTGGGTGGTGTTGGAGGAAATGAGAGGATCAAGGACAGGAGAATGCTTTAGGAATATACATGATGGGCCAAACCTTCAGAAGCAGGCGTTGGAAAAGAGGAACTGTGGCCTTTGGGACTGAGTGTAACTTGTTCAATGGGGCCCTCCTAGCTCCCCAAAACACTCACCCACACCCAACCCCCACACTTGCAGGTCTGCACCCAACGACATTCTGGGCCTCCGCCTCCCCCCGGAGCCTGTGCTCAATGCCAACACGGTATGCCTAACGTTGCCGGGCCTGAGTAGGCGGCAGATGGAAGTGTGTGTGCGCCACCCCGACGTGGCCGCCTCAGCCATCCAGGGCATCCAGATCGCCATCCACGAGTGCCAGCACCAGTTCCGGGACCAGCGCTGGAACTGCTCTAGTCTCGAGACTCGAAACAAGATCCCCTACGAGAGTCCCATCTTCAGCAGAGGTAGCTGCCCCTCGCCCTTGCCCTTCTGCCCACCCCATTCAGCACCCCACCCCCAAAGCTATCTGCCAACCATCCCCACTGCCTCAAGCTGGCAACCTCCCCAGGTGCCCATCTACCAACCATGCTGCTCCTCTGCTCTTTCCGGTCTTGGACAGTCCATGGGGGCCAGCCAAACGGGGAAAATGTGTCTCCAGCCTGCGCTGGGTGGGCTGACCGTAGCAGGTTCCGTGCCCGAGAGTTGACTCCTGGGTTATCCTGCCTGGTCATTGACACTGTATACCTCAAGCCTGGGAAATATAAGTATCTGTCACCTTCCTCAGTTTACCCTCTACCCTCTAGTAAACAGCACTTGGGATGGAGAGCCCGTGATAAAGTACCCAGAGTCAGTACGGAGGACTTTTGCCAAATGGGGTAGGTGAGGGAAGCTGGGGCAGGTAAAATGTCTGTACTTCTGCAGAAGCTCTTCCCGGCAAGGTATACCACCAGCCTCTGTGTCATTCTCACCGCCCCCGAAAACCTTCTCTGAATCAGAGGCACTGGGTGTGTGCCCGCCTCCTGCCCAGCAGGCCCGACCGCCCTGCCAATCCCTCTTCCCCTCACAGCCCAGAGAAGCCACAGCCCGCTCCCTGTCCTCCCTCTGTGACTTCTGAGTGACCCAGGGCCCACCCTGACAACCCTTAGGGTTGGAGATGGCAGGAGGCCTTGTCACTCATTTCTGTTCCCACCCGTCTCCTGCCCTGGTACCTTAGGCCTTGCCTCAGGCCTTTTGGGGGAAGATAGGCGTTATCCATCTCTCCTCTCAGCTGCTTGAGTGGGACAGTGTGGGGACCTGGCTCTGTGAGACTTGTCCAATTTTCTTGCCCAGTGGAGGAGGAGTTGTACCCCTATATTCTGTGCCCTTGGGGTCGGTCCAGAGGCTTCTAGGAGAGCCAGACTCTAAAGCACCCTATTCCGGAAAGAACTCGGCAAGCTGGGGCCTTTCCCTTTTCACCAGGACCCCTACTTGCATCCCCTGGGCCCCCAAGTCAGGGGCCACCGCTGCCTCCTCCAGCCCGGCCCCAGGCCGCCCGCCCCGCCCCCGCGCGCCCTCCCCACCTCCCTCCCCCGCGCGCCCGGGGCGCTGTTTCTACCCTGCCGAGCCCAGCCCGACGCGTGTGGCGGCATGCAGCCGCGAACTAATCCCCGCGGGCCGCGGCAGACGGCTCCCGGCCCGGGCCGCGCGGCTCTCCAAGGGGCACCCCCGCCCGCCCCTGCCCCGCGCTCCCGCCCCGCCCGCCCTGCCGCACCCGAGCCCCGCCAGCCGTCAGTCTGCGGCTGCCCGGGACCCCCGGCGGGGCGCCCCTCCCCGGTCGGCCGGGCGCTCGCCCACGCCAAGTGACAGGCCTGTGCCTCTCTCCTGCCCGGGCCGGGCCCCGCCGGTGCTCGCCGCCGCCGCGCGCCTGCTCCCACTCCGGGTTTCTAGGTCACCCGTGCGCTCCCCGACGCCCCGTTTCCCCTCCAGCACCCGGGCCCGGGAGGTGAGGACACTAGAGGCCTTGCTTTGGGTTTTGCTCGCGGGGGTTTGAATAGGCGCTGAGGTTCTCACCCCTGCCGCTCCAGATGAGGCAAGGCAAGACAAGCTCTTCATCCCTCTTCCCGGCCACGGTGTCCCCAGTTCCCCTCTGGGCCTCCTGCCCCCTCTAGATAGAGCGCGCCCACGCGTCCTGATTACTTCGCCCGCTTGAGGCCCGTGTGGCCTGGTGGAGGACGTGGGGTCTTTGAAGCTCAAGGGTGAGTTCAGAGCGGTGGAAGCACGCGGGGTTGGCGCGGTGCCAGGCGTTCCCGGGTTCACCTGCAGTTTAATAAGCGGGAGGTGAGCTGGGGGGACTGGTAGGGGGAGAGGTTAGGGGTGGAGGGGGGGAGACTTGCCGGGGCTAGCCAGGGCGGGGCAGCGCCCAGCGCGTGGGGAGGGGCGGGACAGCTGCGGCCGGGCTCTGGCAGGGGAGCTGGGCTCTTTCCTTTGGCCTTGGAACACGGTCCTACCTATGTGGCTTTTGCTCCTGCATTGAGACATCCCATTTTCTGCTTGTCCCTCCTCGGAGGGGACTCTAGGCTTCTGGAAGAAATTGCCACTTTCTCTTTCCAGGGGCCACCATTACAGCCCTCTCTCACTCCGTATCTGTGTTCACCCTCCTCTAGGGTTATGTCGCTGTCCGTCTTGGCCCATCACTTCGAGGACTACCTAAATTTGAATTCCACAGGGCCACTCTTGGTGGCAGCCATTCCCCTGGACGGGGTCCTTCCCCCGGTTCCCCTTCTTTTCAAGTTATGAATTGTCCCATGTGGGGTCAGGTGACCTGTTTCCCCCAAGTGGAGTACTGGCTGCTGACCGCTCTTCCAACTCAGACTGCCAGTGGGATTCTCTTCAAGGTGCACTCTGCCATGTTTAAAATTCAGAGACTGCAGGGAGGAGGTGGTCCCTGGGACCTGCTACCTTAATACTGTTACTGCCATCTAATTGTCCTGACATCTCCCTGAAAATGGGTTGGGCTGAAGGGATGGAATTCCAGTGAAGGAGAGAAGAGTGCTTGAGCACCTGGAGTGGACAAGCTTGGGAAGGCAGGGCCCAGACCCATCTGGAATGGATGGAAAGAGGGGGCATGAGGCTCTAGAGCAAGCAGGGTTCTCAGCCCAATGGAAGCCCACAGTTTGAGAGTCTGGCCTCTGTTCTCCAAGGCTCTGGTTCTTCTCCCACCTCTCTTTTACATTCATCCTTGAGGAGTCTTGGTTTTATGGCTAGGCCTCCAGGCGTGGGGTGCGTGGTGGCACTCAGATGAGGAGAAGAGGCACAGGCAATTATATCCCAGGATCACCTAAAGTTCCATTATTCTAATAGCACCCAATGAATTCGCTAATACTTATTAAGTACTTGCTGTTTGGCACTGTTCTAAAGCACTTTATCTGTACTTTAACATCCTCGAACAATCCCCATGCGATAGGTCTTATTAGTATCTTCATTTTACAAATGAAGCTAAGAGAGGTTGGGTAGCTTGCCATTAGTCACACAGCTTGTAAGTGAGCTATAGAGCCAGGACTCAAATGCAGGCCAGCTCTCTTTAGAGATTGCACTCAACCCCCTGCCATACTGCCTCCCAAGCTCCCACCATGTGTCCAGAGGTGAGTGGCACAATGGACTACTCCAAGAAATGAAACTCACATGTACACACACACACACACACACACACACACGCACGCAGATACCTACCTTTGTTTGTACAAACGTGTAGCCACATTCAGTGTCACCCCTAAGTGTTCCCACATGCACACAACCTCTTCCTCTCTCTCAGGCCAGGCACATGAGCATGCACAGATTATATGCATGGAGGGAATGGAGACCAGATCTCTCCCCTTCCCTCCCTCTTTGACTCAAATAGGCGGGGCTCAAGCTTCTCTGACCCCTCCTGGTTCCCACTGGCTCCTGAATCCTCTCTCCTCCATGCTCCCCTGCCCTCCAAACCTCCTCCCCCAGCCCCTTCCTGGCCGTTGGCTGCAGCCTGAAGGAGCAGCTGACTCCACTTAGATGCTGGCAGTCCCTGTCCCAGATCAAAGGCAGGACGGCTAATTGTGCGTCTTAACAAGCACCCCTCCTCCCTCCATGCTCCAGGCAGCCCAGCTGGCCATGGCCCCACCCCTCTCCCCCTCCAGCTGGCCAGATGGCACAGTGCCTGCGTCTGCCCCAGACAGCCGGGGCCAGGACCGAAACTGGGGCCCTGAGTGGGAGCTGGGGGGCAGAGGCCCAGCAGTCTGGACTTCTCTGAATCTTGGATGTTGGAGCAGAGGGTGGTCACACAAGCCCTGCCTGGTCACCACTAAACGTGGCTGTGACAGCTGCCAGAGGCCATGGGATGGTGTCTTTAGCTGCCTTGGGTAGGTAGGGGTGTTCTATGTAGACTGTAGACTACATTTTTCCAGATTCCTCCAGGCCTGCCTCTGAATGTAAAGAGCCTGGAAGATGGTGATTGGCCTGGAAGATGGTGGTTGGTCTAGGCTGGCACATCCCCCTAGACCAGCCTCTTGCTCTTTCTTGGTGCTGTGCATAGATAGGGCCATGGAAACTGGAAATTGGGCTGGCTGGGTTTCTTACTCAGGAACATGTCTTCCCTAGAGCCAAATGTCCTTTAGCAGCCAGTTCCCAGGCCTGGGAGCTGAGAGAGCTGGGCCTGGGTCCTGCTCTGGTTCTGCTCTGTAACCCCTGTGACCTTGGGCATCCCCCTTTTGCACAGTGTGTGTGTGTGTGTGTGTGTGTGTGTGTGTGTGTGTGTGTGTTGGAGGGGGAGATGATTTCTGAGGCTTGGGCTGCTTCTGGAAGTCTGAGTATTGCCATTTGTCCTAGGAGTGGGCTAATGACTCCCCTAGCAATAAGGGAAGTGCTCAGAGTTCCACAGCTAAAAGGCAAGGGATAAACACTGGGTGTGCTCCCCAGGGACTTAGGTCTGCCATTTCTCTTGGGCCCTACATCCCATGTCAGTGTCTACTCCTCTTTGGCTCCCACCAATTCCCAACATCCCCTTAAAAGGCTCCAGCCCAATCCTCATCCCCTCCTGTCTGTTCATAGCTGGGCTCCTTACGGAAAAGATCTGGAGATGCCACAAGCTGGAGAGAGAAGATAGACAGGGACAGCCTGCTTCATGGGCTTCTAGTGGCCCATGTGATTTATTCTAAAATGGGTCTTGAGCGTCTGGGCTCTGTCCCTGACTGGGGAAAACAAGAAGCAATGGCCTAAAATTACAGCAGTAGTGAGTGAAGTCAGACAACAGGAAGAACTTCTCAATAATGGCTAATGTTTGTGCAGTACTTACTATGAATAAGGTGCTCTTCTAAGTACTTTAAATTTACTAACTAATTTAATCCTTGGGACAAAAATGAAGCAGGTAAAAACAATCTTGTCTTGCAGATGAGAAAACTGAAGCACAGAGGTCAAGTCACTTGGTCAAAGTTGGGTAGCTATTAACAGTTAGTAAGTGGAAGAGCCAGGATTTGAACCCAGACAATCTGGCTGCTTGAGAGTTCATACTTTTAACTACTACACGTTTTGTCAAGTTTTGTTGTTGTTGTTGTTGTTGTTGTTGTTGTTGTTGTCATCGTCCTCGTTGTTTTGGCTAGACAAGAAAAGGAGGACAGGACCCTATGATGCAGAGGGTGAGGGTGAGGGTGAGGGGCAGGTTTGGGCTAGGGTCTCTGTTCAGTCCTGGTTGGCTCTCTGAGGGCTACGGGAACTCCCAGAGCATGTGCTTCCAGGCTTCAGCACTAGGGTGGAAGGATCTAGAGTTTTTTTCCTCTGAATCTCTGGCCTCCCGCAAGCCATCAATCTCCAGCCAGGTCTGGGCTTCCACGACAGGTGCCTATGGCACAGGTGAGTTCTCCTCATATGGAGGCTTTCATTGCTCTTGGCTTCTTCTCCCACTGCCCACACTCTCTCGCTTCCAGAGGTTGGTCAGAAACTTGTAAAATGCTGCTAGCTGGTCCCCTCTCAGATGCAGAATAAGGAAGAAGCAGCCTGTGGGGCCAGGAGCCAGACCGTCCTCTGTAAGTAGGCCTCCCCCTGCCACAGGCCCAGACCTTCCCAGAGGATGGCTCAGGCTGAGAACACCGAGGAGAAAAGTAGTGTAGACAAGTCCTGGGCCCCTGCAAGTGGTCGTCAGGGGCTTTGTGCTCCAGAGCATCAAAAAGAAGGTGTCTGCCTTAACTCACCCTTCCCTCTCAATTTTCAACACTCCTGCAGGGCAATGGGCTTATTTCCAGCATTCCTCAAACAACCTCTTCAGATGACCTAGACCCACTGCAGGCAGCGTGGCTGGGCAACGCCCGTTTCCGAGATTTTCTGGGATGTCCTGTGGACAGGAAAAGGGGAAACTCTGCTGGCTCTTTCCTCTGCCTCTTGAATCTGGCAGTCAGGGAGTGTTCTGTAGTGGGGCCTAAGGGGGTGGGGCCTAAGGGGGTGGCACCAGGCAGGCAATCTTGGGGCCGGGAGCTGTCCGAGGACACCCTCCTCTTATTTACCCTTCTGCCCATGAACATCTTCTGGGCCTGGAATTCTATCTCTAGTCATTTATTTTTTAGCTTAAATTTTGCCTTCTTTCCGCAGGCTTATTTTTAAATTGCAAATATCACATGAGAGGTAACAGATGAAGTCCCTGATCTGAAAAAGAAATGTTTCCCAGATACTTTATGCCCAACAGGAGAGAGGTAGACACGAATTCTGAGCTTGCTAAGGGTGATGTTAGTGGAACAGGGAGTGAAGTACAAAAGAGGACTCTGGGGAGACCTCCCACACTCCACCCTGCATGCAGAACTTCTGATGTGATTTCTGCCCCTCTTTGAATCTGTGTCCTTGTTCCAGACCTTCCCCCAACACTGCGCCTCCATTTCCCCTTTGTGTGGTAAGAAGGTTGGGCAGAGAGGGCAGAGGGATGAACGTGGAGGCCCCTGAGAGTCCTTTCCCTGGATCTCCACCCTCAGGTTTCCGAGAGAGTGCCTTCGCCTACGCCATCGCTGCAGCGGGCGTAGTGCACGCGGTGTCCAATGCCTGCGCCCTGGGCAAACTGAGGGCCTGCGGCTGCGACGCCTCTCGGCGCGGGGACGAGGAGGCCTTCCGTCGGAAGCTGCACCGCCTGCAGCTGGACGCGCTGCAGCGCGGTAAGGGCCTGAGCCACGGGGTCCCGGAACACCCAGCCCTGCCCCCTGCCAGCCCGGGCCTGCAGGACTCCTGGGAGTGGGGCGGCTGTAGCCCCGATGTGGGCTTCGGGGAGCGCTTCTCGAAGGACTTTCTGGACTCCCGGGAGCCTCACAGAGACATCCACGCACGCATGAGGCTCCACAACAACCGAGTTGGGAGGCAGGTGAGAGCCCCACACCCGCCTGGGCCTGCTCCAGATCCCTCTGCCTAGGGCTCCTCCCTTCCCCCCAGGCCTTGCTCTGGGACCCAGAGCTCCCCCCTTACTCAGCAATTCTCTCATTGTCCCTGCCTAATCCAGTCATCAAACATGCATTGGATACCTACTGTGTGCCAGGCACTGGACTAGTCTGGGATGCAGGGATGAGAAAAACCCTGTCCTGGATCAGCCTGCTCCCCCCTTTTTTTTTTTTTTTTTTTTGTGGTGGGGTGGGCACGGGGGGGGGGGGGGGAGTGGACAGGACTGCAGACAGGGCCTCCGGGGCCTTGGCCTTGCTCTGCCTCTCTGTGGCCTCCCCTATAAAGCAAGAAGGTTGAACTGGGTCATCCAGCTCCCTAGTCTCCCCTGCCCTGGCCCAGCTCTAACGTTCCATGATTCTGTGCTATCCTATGCTGTGACCCTCTACCTGTTCTCCCAGCCTTTCTGTGCAGAATGAGGGATTCCTGCAAGGGGAGGTTCCTCGGGGCCACTGAGGTCCTGTGTTATGGTTACCTTCCTCCTTTTTCTCCCTATCCTTGAATGTTCATACTCCCTCAAAGGTCATAAATTAAAAAAGAAGAAGAAGAAGAAGAAGAAGAAGAAGAAGAAGAAGAAGAAGAAAGGAAAGAAAGAAAGAATCAATCGCTTGCATTTATTGAGTGCTTACTATGTGTTAGGTACCGTCTGGAGCACCACACCACATCACATATTAGCCTTTTTAATCTTTACACTACCTATGAGGGTGCTAGTAGCAGCCTCGTGTTCAAATATGGAAAGTGAGGTACAGAGAGATGAAGAAGCTTGCCCAAGGTGGTGCAGCTGGTAAGGAAGGGATAGAGGCGGATTCATCGCCAGGCAGCTGAGCCTTTCACTCCGCAGGGTCGTCTGCGCTGGGTGCGTGCCTCCACTAAGATGCCTCCTTAGCCTTCGTGGTAGCCCAGCACCCTCCTTTTCTGGCTGTTCAGCCCCTATGCCTTCTCTCGGCTCTGCCTGGCCTGCTCAGGCCTCGTTTCTGGCTTCCCCTCACCCGGCCTGGCACCTGCGCCTCCTGACTCCCCTTTCTCCTGTCCTCTGGACCCGGTGCTTCACCAACTCCTTCCACAAAGACTCGGAGCTGATTCAGCTCTTCCCATCCTGACTTAGAGGTGAAGTAAACTGAGGCATATCCACCCTCAGGTCACATCCAGCTTCCACCCAGCCCTGCCCTATTAGTGCAGCTCTTTTCCCAAGCTTCCATGCTATCCCAGCCCATACCAACAGTGCCTCCTACTCCTCGTTAAACTGGTTAATTAATGGCTGCTGTCTGTGGGAAGCGAATGTTCTGGAGCCGTTGGCCAGCCGAGGCCCTGGGCTCGTTCCTCCATGGTGTTGCCACCACAGGCTGCACCTACAAGCTGCGGAGCCCTTTAACACTCAGAGGGCAGGGTCTCTCTCTTCTGGCCCTAACTGCCCAGGTGTGAGGGCCCCAGCTCACTGGTCTCCCTGTCTGCAGCTGTGTTTTGGAATGGAGTCCCGGGAAAGGAAGATGTCTCCAGTGTCTCTAATGAGGATAATGTCAAGGGGTCCTTTGGGAGGAGATTCTAGGGCAGGTTGAGAGTTGGGCAGGGGGTCGGTATACCACACCCCTGTAACTACCTGCCTTGGATGCTTGGGAACTTCTCACTTTCATTGGGCTGAGGGTCTGGCTCTCTGGGGGCTGCTCCCATTCTGTATTCAGGTAGAGCTTTTGGCCCCGGCTGGTGCTCACTGTTCCCTAGGAGGAACTGTGACATTCGGCAGTGGGCAGAATAAGCTCCAGCCGGTATAATGGGGTGAAGGGGAGACTCCTCAGCTCCTGTCCCCTCCTTAGGCTCCCTGCAAAGGGCTGCAGGGCCCAGAGAAGGAAAGGGGCTTTCTCAGCCTCCCCGCAGCCCCCACTCACAGCCTGGATCGAGGCCAGAGGCTTTGGGGATAGGATACAGTGGGGCCAGCAACCCCCTGCTTCTGGCCCCCACCTGAGGGATGGAAGGAGAGGGAATTTCCCTGAGGATCTGGGATCCCCCCTCAGGAAGCAAGAGCCTCCAGCCCCAAGGGCCCCCTGCAGCTGGTGGGAAAGGAGAAGAGGGGAGGAAGGAGGGAATTCCCCCAGGACCTGGCCTTGTGGGAGGCGGATGGGAGAACAGCAGAAGAGCAGGCGGAGTTCTTCTCCCGACTGCCTGGCTCAGGAGCTGTGCGCCCGCCTCCCCACTCTGCCCCGCTTTGGGCCTCAGCTTTTGCATCCGTTCAATGGGAGTCGGTTTCGGAAGTCTCCGAGGAGATTCTCGCAGGCCAGCGCCTGCGCTGGGAGGAGGGCCGTGGGGCCGACCGCGGGCGTCACCCCTCGCCGTGCCTCCCTCTGCAGGCGGTGATGGAGAACATGCGGCGGAAGTGCAAGTGCCACGGCACGTCAGGCAGCTGCCAGCTCAAGACGTGCTGGCAGGTGACGCCGGAGTTCCGCGCCGTGGGGGCGCTGCTGCGCAGCCGCTTCCACCGCGCCACGCTCATCCGGCCGCACAACCGCAACGGTGGCCAGCTGGAGCCCGGCCCCGCGGGGGCCCCCTCGCCAGCCCCGGGCGTCCCGGGGCCGCGGCGCCGGGCCAGCCCCGCCGACCTGGTCTACTTCGAGAAGTCGCCCGACTTCTGCGAGCGCGAGCCGCGCCTGGACTCGGCGGGCACCGTGGGCCGCCTGTGCAACAAGAGCAGCGCGGGCCCCGACGGCTGCGGTAGCATGTGCTGCGGCCGCGGCCACAACATCCTGCGCCAGACGCGCAGCGAGCGCTGCCACTGCCGCTTCCACTGGTGCTGCTTCGTGGTCTGCGAGGAGTGCCGCATCACCGAGTGGGTCAGCGTCTGCAAGTGAGCGGAAGGCTTCCTTCCCTTCCCTGAGCCTGGCCCTCTGCGGCTTGCCGTCTTGGCCCGGCAGCAGCGTCGCCCTGGCTCCTGGGAGAGGAGTTTGGACCATCTGATCCGATAGGAACCTCCCGGCTCTGAGGGTCAAGTCTGCAATCAGGGGAGAGTCCAGACCTGCCTGGACCCCACCACTCACTTCTGGGGGCTCCAGGACTGATTTGCCTCCCTGCTTCTTGCCCTAAGCTTAGACGGCTCAGTTGGGCTGGGGATTGCCCGACACCCACACCAGAGGGCAAGTGTCAGCCAGGCAGCCTCTGGGCCTGTCTCCTTTCGTGCCTTCACCTCTAACCCTGGAAGCTGAAGGGCAGGGGAAAGATGATTAGAAAAGAAGAAATGGACGTAACTGAGCTGAAGTGATTCTCTAGAGGCCTAGGATGCCCTCCCCCAAGGGCCTCTGTCCCTCATCATTCATTTAACAAATATTTATTTTGCATTCTTTGTGGCCTGGCACTCTGCAGGGGACGATGGGTGCTGGGGAGACAGATGTGAATAAGAGAGACACAGCACCGGCCTCTTGGAGTTTACATTCTGGTTGGGAGAGAGGGACAATAAACAAGTAAATATACAAACCAGGTCATCTCAGACAATGCTCTGTACCACGAAGCAAATAAAGCACGGTGCTGGATGTAGAGTGATGTGTGGGGAGTGGGGTCCCTTTAGTGTTTATTTTTTATGTTTGCATTTTAAAAGCCTGTTTTTGTTTGAGTACAGTTGACACGCAATGTTACGTTCGTTTCAGGTGTACAACGTAGCGATTCAACATCTCTATACATCTGTCACCATATAATGCTATTACAATACCATTGACTCTATTCCCTATGCCGTGCCTTGTAGTGCTGTGACTAATTCATTCCATAACTGGAAGCCCATTATCTCCCACTCCCCTTCACCCGTTTTGTTCATCCACTCGCCCACCTCCCCTCAGGCAACCATCAGTTTGTTCTCTGTGTTTATAGGTCTGATCCTGCTTTTTGTTTGTTCATTCATTTGTTTTGTGTTTTAGAGTCCACATGAGAGTGAACTCATGGGGTATTTGTCTTTACTAGTCAGACTTATTACACTTAGCATAATACCCACAAGGTCCATCCATATGGTTGCACATGGCAAGATCTCCTCCTTTGTTATGGCTGCATGTATACACACACTCACACCCCACATCTTTTTCATTGATTCATTTATTGATGAATAAGGCACAAGGTATTGATGAATAAGACACATAGGTAGGAGTGTGGCCTCTTTAGATAAAGTCATTGGTCTGGGAAGGCCTCTCTGAGTTATGTTACTCATGCTGAGACCTGTGTGCCGAAGATAGCCCCGAAAGGGCTTTCCAGGCTGAGGCCATGTGAATGCCAAAGGTCGGTGGTGAGAGAGATCTCCTCAGGAGGAACAGCCAACAGGCCAGTGTGATCGGATGGAGCAATCAAGGGCAGGTTAGCAGGAAAGGAGCTCGGAGGGCAGGCAAGAGTCACATCACATGTCCCTCTGGGCCATCGTAAGGAGTTGGGATTTTCCGAGGAATGAGAAACTTTCAGAGGGTCTTGAACAGGTGAGTGTCATGGTCTGATTCCCACATGGCTCACTGTACTGGGGAACTGAATGAAGAGGGGAAGAGTTAACAACAAGGGGCCAGTTAGGAAACTACAGCCATCTTCCAAACCAGATGGAACCTGCCTGAATGGAGGCTAAGGGGGATGTTGACAAGAAGCTGGAACCGGAGCTCTTAATTCCGGAGCTCTAGCTGTCCACCTTGTGCCTGAGCCCTCTGCCACAAGCCAGGACGAGTGGCGGTGCCCAGCAGCACCCTTCGGCAGAGACAGACACTCTGCGAGGAGTAATCCTGGGCAAGACCCAGCTCAACCCAGCCAGCCCAGCGCCCCAGGGAGCAGGTGGGGCTAGAAGGTGCGGCAGGGAGGAGGGTGGTGGGGGAGGGCTAGGAGACTCACTGTCTGGATGCTGGTCTTTCTGAGTGCATGCAGGGGAGATGGAGTATGTAAGTAAGGCCAGAGGCGAAGGGACATCCTTCCTCGGCCTCCTTTGTCCCAAACCCTCAAGGAGGAGGGTGGTAGAGAGGGAGGTAGAGTGGTCGGGATCTCAGAGAAAGAACACTTCACCTACTTCATCCAGACCTCCTGCTGCTCCAAGTTGAGGATCCTGCTTCCTGCCTCATTTTACCCAGAATGGCACCCTTCTGGATGAACCAGACAAGGATGAAGTCTTGTTCCTTTTCCCGATTGCCAGCCTACACGAACCCCCATATTTCCTTAGCCCATGTCTCCCTACCTCAGGGTAGGGGTGAGAAGGAAAGGACGCTCTCATGGTGGTGTATCCCTGTTGGGAGTTTTGCCCCAACTAGCTTGCCTTCAGCTTCCTCTCCTCCAACTGCCTGCATCCCGGCAGCTCCTGGACATGCCTACGACAGCCAGGCCTTCCACATGCTCAGCTCCGCTGCTTCTGGGGAGGACAGAGTTTCTCTCCCCAACCCCCAAAAGACAGCCCCACAGGCAGGCAGGTTAGAGTCCCCCGGGGAGGAGGGGTAAGCGGGAGCAGCCGACACACCTGCCTCATTCCTTTCCTCTTGTTCACCCAGGAGGGAGCTGTGGGGGCTGGGTTCCCCGCCCCCTTGCTCCCTCCCATCCCAGGGAGGAGGAGAAAAGAGGTAGGGGGTGAGGAAGAGAGGCCTGAGTGGGGAGCACTCCCACCCCCAGCAGTGTCCACTGCGTATTAGCTTTGACCTCACCCTCCGGTGCCTTCCAGGTTTAAGGAGCACAGAGCCAGGGGGAGGAGAGACTGGAGAGATACAGGATCAGGGCTGGGATAATGAGGTAGGAGCAGGAATACTGCAGAGCCTGCTGCCTCCAGAGAGGAGTGAGTGGTGGGGTGGGGCAGGGGCTGGACACCACGTTGTGGGGGGAAGGACGTGTTCCAGTCAAGTCCTGGTGAGCTGATATATGCTGGCAGGATCTGTAAAGGAAGAGAGTGAAAGTTGGGGAAGGAACAAACAAGGTGTTACCCACTCCATATCCTCCCTCCGGGCCAGAAGCTGGCTAGGGTCTCAGGGCAAAAGCTGGACCCCACAACTGAAAAGGGGGATGTAGGATCTGGCAATGGTCTTAAAGGGAGATGTGGAGGTGATGAAGGGCAGGAAAATAGGGCCCAAGGGGCACGGGGCTTAGGCATCCTGGCTGAAGGGCGAGACAGAAATCAATGTGCTGACTGGAAATTGGGGGTGATGGAGGTAGATGGGAGGAAGAACTTGCCAAATAGCTTGGGGGAGGACCAGGGTTGCAATTTTGGAATAAGAACAGATGGTGGACCATAGATTAGAGGGGAAGGGAACTGTCCTGGTCCCCAATACCATTCATCTTGATGGACCCTGGGTCACCTCCTTGCAGGAGGAAAAACTAGTATGGTCTGATAGAGCCTGGATGGCCCCAGCTGGAGGGAGAGGGAGAACTAACAGAGAATGAGGGTGGTGGACAGATCAGCAGGCAGTGGTCAGGTTAAGGGTCAGGGAGCGGCAGCCAGACCGGGGTGGGGATCAGAACCCAGGCATCCTGCTTTCCAGTCACTCAAGGTCCCAGGGCTGAAATAAGAGGAAAGAGGCAGAGGTAGAGGCCCTAACAACTCTAGGAAGACCCAGGATGAGAAGCTAGGTCAGCTTCTCCAAGCCCTCCTCCTCCCAGATCCATGTGCCCCCAGCTAGCCCCCGGCAGGGGGCCTTCCACGTTGGAGTTTGGCCAGGCTCTAGTCGCAGCCCCCTTCCTCCCCTCCACCACCCCCCCCCCTTCTCATGTGGTTGCCGGCAGCTGCCTGCGGTCGCCCCAACCCCTGCGCTCAAGGCACGGGGACTTTCCAACAGGGGAAAAAATGACTTAATGAGAGTGGGAGCCGGGGGCGGGAGGGACAGGTCCCTGTAATCACCGCTCCACTGTGGGGCCTGTGCGCCTCCGGGGCCATTCCGGGCTTCCTGCTGCCAGCGCCCCCCTCAGGCTCTGTTGGGGAGGTGGACGGGCTGGGGACAGGGGGATCCCTTTTCAGGTTTCAGACTCTTTGGGCCCTCTGGCCACGTTTGCTCCCTAGGCTTGAGGTTCGTGGAAGCTGGGGCGCCCCATGATCCCTCTCCAGACTTTGTCCTTGAAGTTGCGCGGGGGTGGAGGGGGATGAGTGGCAGTCTCTCCTAGGAGCCAGGGTTCTCTGCTGGTGGATTAGAGGGGTGAAGGATCAGGAGTAGAGCCCTGTGCCACTTTGCGCCTGCGCACTTCGAAACTTCCCCGGTTACTGTGGCAACCACGGCAGTCGAGGTGTGTCCGCGGGGCTGGGAGGCGCCCACTCCCCCTTTTCTCGCCGCCCTGCGGGCCAGGCCCGGCCGCTGCGGTGCGCGGGGGTGGGGGTGTGCCGTTACCATGGCGAGGGTGCGCTAGGAGGGCACATTCTTCCCCAGGGTGGGAGCGCCCTGGGGATACGAGAAGGGGGGGGGGGGTGACGGGGGCGGCAGAAAGGGAAGCGGCGGGTGGTGGTGGAGGGAGGGTCATAACGAGGGGAGGAGTCTCGGACAGGATGAACCAGGGCTCCTTGGGGTTGGGGTGGGGAGTTTGGAATCTACCCCCCTCTGCCTAGCTCTCCAGAGACGTCCAGCTCCTCCTCCGAAACTCTCGCTAGGGTTCAAGCCCCTCCGTCCCCACTTTCCGGGGAAGGGATCCCCTACTACCGAATGGAAGGTCTTTTAGCTTCCCCCTGAGACCAGGCTCTGCGAGCTTAGTGTTTGTCCCTTTCCTTCCCCCACCCCAAGCGAAGCTGCAGCCCAGACTGCGACCTGAAGCCCTGCAATTAAGCCCCTCGCCCGCCCCTGCGCCGCCCGCCGGCCCTCTGCCAGACCGGGCCTGCACCGTCAATTACAGCCGTGCGCAGCAGCTGATTACTCCGGAGTCAGGGAAGCAGCCGGGGTGGGGACAGCTGGCAGGCCAAGGGGGCGGGGTCCCTGGGGTTGTCCCCTGCCCAGGATCCTTAATTGGAACTTCGAACTGCGGCCCTCTAGCCCAACTTCTCCGCTGCAGGCAACATGGGGGGGGGGGGGGGGGGGGGGGGACAGGTCTAGTTAGTGCTCTGTCCGGCTGTGCCTCAATTTCTCTCTTCTTGAATGCACACCGCACCCGGGCAGAAAGAGTGCAGGGAGGTTGTGTGTGGTGTGGTGTGGTGTGGTGTGGTGTGGTGTGGTGTGGTGTGGTGTGTGTGTTGGACGTCTGGACTCGAGGGCTGGGTACTCCAGAATCTCAAAGCCCTCAAGGCCGGCTCTCTTTCCCGCCGCAGACAGTCGCGTGGGTCTCCCCTGGCCCGGAGCCCCACCCGGTGGACCTGGCTCTGTCTTGCTGAGCCAGCCTCAGGGTGGCTGCCAGCCCATACTTTGCTTTTGTGGGAATCAGAGTCCCTTCTGGGCAGGAGGCTTCTCTCTCCTCACTTCTGCCCTTCAAGGGAAGGCAAACTAGGACCCTGCAGAGCAGCGATGGTGGCGTATTCTGCCATCACCCTTGCCCCTGCATCCCGTCTTCGCTCTCTCCCTGCCTGCAGGCCTGGAGGGGCTGGGGTTGAGCTAGCGTCTCCCGCGGTCCAGCTCCCCACATCTGGCCGGCAGCTGGCACCCGCCCACT